TGAGGTTTATAACATGTCCCCTGTGCATCGTGGGGTTAGTCCTGTTTACTGACAGGTGTCAGGACAGAGGGAGTCATCAGTCAAGTCATCTAAGACTACATTGGGATATTGTGATATATGAATCGCAGTTGATTGATGTAGAGCTCACGTTGTTCCTTGTTGTCTCCAGGAGAGCCTCTGGACCAGCAGAGGCAGCAGACGGTGGCGGCGGACGACGGCACGGAGCTCTTCACCTACAAGGGGAACGACGTGGAGGCGTACGCGGCCTCCAGCTCGCCCTCCGGCCTCTACCAGCTGGAGCTGCTGAGCACCGAGAAGGACAGCCACTTCAAGGTGTACTCCACCACCACGCCCGAGTCCGACCAGCCCTACCCGCAGCTGCCCTACGACCCGCGGGTCGACGTGACGGCGCTGGGAAGAACCACGGTGACGCTGGCCTGGAAACCCACGCCCACCGGCTTCCTGATGGGCCAGCCGGTGCAATACTGCCTGGTGATCAACAAGGAGCACAATTTCAAGAGCATGTGCGCCGCCGAGGCTAAGATGACGCTGGACGACGGGTTCATGTTGGCGCCCAAACCGGGCCGGGACTTCAGCCCCTTCGACTTCGCCCACTTCGGGTTTGTTCCGTCTGATAATCTGCTGGGGAAGGACCGCGGACTGGTGAGCAACAAGATCTCCTCCAGGAGCTACACGGCCAAACCCAGAGCCTCCGACATCCAGAAGCTTTGCATCGGCAACAAGAACATCTTCACGGTGTCGCAGCTGAAGCCGGACACGCAGTACTACTTCGACGTGTTCGCCGTGAACTCGGCCACCAACACCAGCACGGCGTACGTCGGCACGTTCGCCCGCACTAAAGAGGAGGCTAAGCAGAAAACCGTGGAGCTGAAGGACGGCAAAGTGACCGACGTCTTCATCAAGAGGAAGGGCAGCAAGTTCCTGCGCTTCGCCCCGGTGTCGTCCCACCAGAGGGTCACCCTGTTCCTGCACGCCTGCCTGGACAGCGTGCAGCTGCAGGTGAGGCGCGACGGCAAGCTGCTGCTGAGCCAGAACGTGGAGGGCGTGCGGCAGTTCCAGCTGCGCGGGAAACCCAAAGCCAAGTACCTGATCCGCCTGCGGGGCAGCAGGAGGGGCGCCTCCACCCTGAAGCTGCTGGCCTCCACGCGGCCCAGCAGCAAGCAGCCCTTCCCCTCGCTGCCCGAGGACACGCGCATCAAGGCCTTCGACAAGCTGCGCACCTGCTCCTCCGCCACCGTGGCCTGGCTGGGAACGCAGGACCGCAACAAATACTGCATCTACCGCAAGGAGGTGGCCGACAACTACGGAGAGGAGCAGCGGCGCCGCGAGCAGAACCAGTGCGCCGGGCCGGAGAGCCGCCGGAAGGCTGAGAAGGTTCTGTGCAAATACTTCCACAGCCCCAACCTGCAGAAGGCCGTGACCACGGAGACGGTGACGGGGCTGCAGCCGGGGAAGAGCTACCTGCTGGACGTTTACGTGGTGGGACACGGAGGACACTCGGTCAGGTACCAGAGCAAACTGGTGAAGACAAGGAAGTACTGCTAAAAGACTGCACAGAATAAATCTATTATAAATATATATATGAAATAAGTTTATTTAACTCTAAGTGATATTCTACTAAGGAGTGTATACAGACTACTCGCGGCGCAGCGACTGTATATTTATGTTCCCGGCTGCTCGGAGATCTTCATCCGGTCCGTGACGCTCGCTTTCATATGGAGACTCAGCAGCGCCTTGTATAGATCTCTCATATCCACTACATGTGTTAGGAGGAGTTTAAATTATTTTATACTTTTGGTCTCTTGTTGTTCTTCATTTTGTATTGATAATAACTGTTCTGAGGATTTCCAGTGGTAGTTCAGACATTCCCCTGTTGCTCATCCTGTAAATGTGTTCTGTGCTGGAGATGTGTGTGTTATTATCACTGTATCGCTGTGTGTGTGTACAGAGTTGTCCTGCCAATATTCATGTACATAAACACTAAATATAGACCCAGTAATCCCTCTGTCCCTCGCGGTGTCATGTTCTTGTCCCGAGCCGTTACCATGAGTCTGAATCAGGGTTTCTTCAGCTCTCCTTCACACTGGAAGTGACTCCCAGTGATAACTTGATCCCAGCAGAGGATGGACTGTTTGCTGGGAATGAAGCACTGTGGTTGTCGAGCCCTGCTGACCATCAGATATCAAACCAGGGTCTCATTGACGTTAATAATGATTAATAAATCAGTGCATCTCAGATCAATTATGAGTGCATTTCTTTGTCTCTGCTGGAGGAATATTCACATGTTGGACGATAAGAGTCATTAACGTGTATTTTAGGGGTTCAGATCAGATGTTTTCATAAAAGCATTCACACGTTTGATGCTGCTCTACTCTGAAGTTATGAAATGCACACTTTTCTCTGGGTTTGTGGACTCATTCCTGCACCACTATCTCACAGCAGTTTATAGAAGCTGCTGTTCATTCTAGTTGCACCAATTTCAAGTCACGAACACTCAAAATGCTTTTCAGGTTTCAAGATTCAAGTCTCTGTCGTCATGAGCTCAGCAGCTTCAGAGGAGATATGACAAACTGAAGTCCTCCTCCAGCAGAGCAACATGAAGATATATAGGACATACAACTGAGAATGTTTTGAGATGTGCAAGTTAATACAAATGAAATAGAAATAGTGCCAGAAGAGTCTAGATACAAGTAAATGGAATATGATATATAGATAAATAATTAGCAGGAAACAAACAGATGGATGGTTTATATTTATGTGTGGTCCTCTCAAATTCTCAAATCTCTTAAAATATGAGAATTGTTTTAATGTGGGCCGACTTTAAATAGATATTGCTAATCCTAAACATATCTCAAGTTAGCTACCATTAGCTACCATTAGCTACCATTAGCTACCATTAGCTGCCATTAGCTGCTACAGGCTCACAACAGACCAATAGAGGAGTAGTAGGAGCTGGTTTAAAGCTCGACAGTAAAGCTTTCTTTGGGAGAAATCTAACTCAAACTACTTTGAAAAGAGAGAGAAAAACTGGGAAAAATACAATAACAAACTATATTAGTTTTACTCAAATTGTAAGAAAACAGAGGCCGAGCTGTTCAAAGAAATCCAATTACAGTCAGGAAGAAATGGTAAGAAATAGCTGTTATGGCCCAAATGTTTTGTTGTTTCAGAAGTGAACTACACTCAATGATAGAACATGTATAAACTACTTGTTGAACTATTAAAATATGTATAAACTACTTGTTTAACTATTAAAATATGTATAAACTACCAGCAGGCAAGTTGTAAATGTAGTTTACCCTCTAACACCGGATACCTGAGGGTAGTATCAAAGCTTTGCTAAGAATTGTACGTTTTATTTGAGATATTTCTCCTTCTAAAAGTGGACACAGTTTGATGCTACGATATGATAGCATGTGAGAGATTTAAATAAACAAAGAGAAAGATGAGTTATAAAGCCAGTAAGTAATTCAGTCTGTTCACAAATATCTATATTAAGTTCAGCTAACGTCAGCTGTTCATAACGGACCAATAAAGACTGAAAAGTTAGCGGAGACACTTTTAAAAGCTCCACAGTGAAGCTTCCTGAGAGAGAAATCGAACTAAAGCTATGTCATGGATAGTATCACAACATTGAGATTATTTCAAAAGGAAAAACAGAAAGGAGACAGAGCCGGTCCAAGAAGTTCAGTTACAGTCCAGAAGAAATTGCAAAATCATCCCTTAAACACAAAGGGCAAACAACTACTTGAATCACTTTTAATATATGTATGAACTACGGTTCAACATGTAGTTAAACTGGTCCCAACACTGAATTCCTGAGTGTGATATCAACGTTTGGCTCAGCAATTCAACTTTCTATTAAGAGGTCACATTCATTATTTCATTTTTAAGTCCAAAAGGGGTCAAAATAAGTCAGTTAAGCCAAGAGAGAAACCCAGAGTCTGGTTCTGGTTCTGGGTTCTGGGTTCTGGGTTCTGGTTCCCACCTCAGTCAAAAGCCAGGTTTTTTAAATAAACCCAATCAATGAAAACCCATTTCTGCGCCTGATTTTTGGCTCATTTTTTAAATGACAGCATCCCAGGTGACACTGAACAGGCCTCAGCAATCTCTGTGTCCACCCATACGTTACATAAGTGCACATACTCAGAGGACCAGGCTCCAGAGTGGGAGAACTGGGGGACTCGAGATACCATTTAACCCTAACCACAAACAAGCAGAGAGGAAAGCCAGACACACAAATCCTCACGTCCTGATTACAGCCGTCTGTTGCGGCCATGTTTCCTCAAGAGACCGTGTTTCATTCAGAGACCGTGTTTCCTCCAGAGACCGTGTTTCATTCAGAGACCGTGTTTCACCCAGAGACCGTGTTTCACCCAGAGACCGTGTTTCATTCAGAGACCGTGTTTCATTCAGAGACCGTGTTTCACCCAGAGACCGTGTTTCACCCAGAGACCGTGTTTCATTCAGAGACCGTGTTTCATTCAGAGACCGGTTTCATCAAGAGACCGTGTTTCCTCAAGAGACCGTGTTTACCCAGAGACCGTGTTTCCTCAAGAGACCGTGTTTCATACCCAGAGACCATGTTTCATTCAGAGACCGTGTTTCACCCAGAGACCGTGTTTCCTCAAGAGACCGTGTTTCACCCAGAGACCATGTTTCATTCAGAGACCGTGTTTCCTCAAGAGACCGTGTTTCACCCAGAGACCGTGTTTCATTCAGAGACCGTGTTTCATTCAGAGACCGTGTTTCATTCAGAGACCGTGTTTCACCCAGAGACCGTGTTTCACCCAGAGACCGTGTTTCATCAGAGACCGTGTTTCCTCAAGAGACCGTGTTTCACCCAGAGACCGTGTTTCATTCAGAGACCGTGTTTCCTCAAGAGACCGTGTTTCACCCAGAGACCGTGTTTCATTCAGAGACCGTGTTTCACCCAGAGACCGTGTTTCCTCCAGAGACCGTGTTTCATTCAGAGACCGTGTTTCATTCAGAGACCGTGTTTCACCCAGAGACCGTGTTTCACCCAGAGACCGTGTTTCACCCAGAGACCGTGTTTCATTCAGAGACCGTGTTTCATTCAGAGACCGTGTTTCATTCAGAGACCGTGTTTCCTCCAGAGACCGTGTTTCATTCAGAGACCCGTGTTCATTCAGAGACCGTGTTTCCTCCAGAGACCGTGTTTCATTCAGAGACCGTGTTTCACCCAGAGACCGTGTTTCATTCAGAGACCGTGTTTCACCCAGAGACCGTGTTTCATTCAGAGGACCGTGTTTCACCAGAGACCGTGTTTCACCCAGAGACCGTGTTTCACCCAGAGACCGTGTTTCACCAGAGGACCGTGTTTCACCCAGAGACCGTGTTTCATTCAGAGACCGTGTTTCACCCAGAGGACCGTGTTTCATTCAGAGGACCGTGTTTCACCCAGAGACCGTGTTTCACCCATGTAAGACCGTGTTTTGTCATTAGAGACCGTGTTCCATTCAGAGACCGTGTTTCCTCCAGAGACCGTGTTTCCTCAGAGACCGTGTTCCTCAAGAGACCGTTTAGTTTCATCCAGAGACCGTGTTTCACCCAGAGACCGTGTTTCATTCAGAGACCGTGTTTCCTCAAGAGACCGTGTTTTCACCAGAGACCGTGTTTCATTCAGAGACCGTGTTTCATTCAGAGACCGTGTTTCTACCCAGAGACCGTGTTTCACCCAGAGACCGTGTTTCATTCAGAGACCGTGTTTCCTCAAGAGACCGTGTTTCACCCAGAGACCGTGTTTCATTCAGAGACCGTGTTTCACCCAGAGACCGTGTTTCACCCAGAGACCGTGTTTCATTCAGAGACCGTGTTTCATTCAGAGACCGTGTTTCATTCAGAGACCGTGTTTCATTCAGAGACCGTGTTTCATTCAGAGACCGTGTTTCTCCAGAGACCGTGTTGTTTTCATTCAGAGACCGTGTTTCACCCAGAGGACCGTGTTTCATTCAGAGACCGTGTTTCACCCAGAGACCGTGTTATTCATTCAGAGACCGTGTTTTCACCCAGAGACCGTGTTTCACCCAGAGACCGTGTTTCACCCAGAGGACCGTGTTTCACCCAGAGGACCGTGTTTTCACCAGAGACCGTGTTTCATTCAGAGACCGTGTTTTCACCCAGAGACCGTGTTTCATTCAGAGACCGTGTTTCACCCAGAGACCGTGTTTCACCCAGAGACCGTGTTTTCATTCAGAGACCGTGTTTCATTCAGAGACCGTGTTCCTCCAGAGGACCGTGTTTTCCTCCAGAGACCGTGTTTCCTCAAGAGACCGTGTTTCATTCAGAGGACCGGTGTTTCATTCAGAGACCGTGTTTTCCTCAGAGACCGTGTTTCCTCCAGAGACCGTGTTTCCTCCAGAGACCGTGTTTCCTCCAGAGGACCGTGTTTCACCCGAGACCGTGTTTTCCTCCAGAGACCGTGTTTCACCCAGAGGACAGTGTTTCACCCAGAGACCGTTGTTCATTCAGAGACCGTTGTTTCATTCAGAGACCGTGTTTCCTCCAGAGACCGTGTTTCCTCAAGCGACCGTTGTTTCATTCAGAGACCGTTGTTTCATTCAGAGACCGTGTTTCCTCCAGAGGACCGTGTTTCCTCCAGAGACCGTGTTTCCTCCAGAGACCGGTTTCCTCCAGAGACGTGTTTCACCCAGAGACCGTGTTTCCTCCAGAGACCGTGTTTCACCCAGAGACCGTGTTTCACCATGGAGACCGTGTTTCATTCAGAGGATCCGTGTTTCATTCAGAGACCGTGTTTTCACAGCCCAGAGACCGTGTTTCATTCAGAGACCGTGTTTTCACCCAGAGGACCGTGTTTCATTCAGAGACCGTTGTTTCACCCAGAGACCGTTGTTTCATTCAGAGGACCGTGTTTCACCAGAGACCGTGTTTCACCCCAGAGAACCGTGTCTTCACCCAGAGACCTGTTTGTTTCACCCAGAGACCGTGTGTTCAACCCCAGAGACCGTGTTTCACCCAGAGACCGTGTTTCATTCAGAGGACCGTGTTTCACCCAGAGACCGTGTTTCATTCAGAGACCGTGTTTCACCCAGAGACCGTGTTTCACCCAGAGACCGTGTTCATCATGAGAGACGTGTTAGTTTCATTCAGAGACCGTGTTTCCTCCAGAGACCGTGTTTCCTCCAGAGACCGTGTTTCCTCAATGAGACGTGTTTCATTCAGAGACCGTGTTTCATTCAGAGACCGTGTTTCCTCCAGAGACCGTGTTTCCTCCAGAGACCGTGTTTCCTCCAGAGACCGGTGTTTCCTCCAGAGACCGTGTTTCACCCAGAGACCGTGTTTCCTCCAGAGACCGTGTTTTCACCCAGAAGACCGTGTTTTCACCCAGAGACCGTGTTTCATTCAGAGACCGTGTTTCATTCAGAGACCGTGTTTCCTCCAGAGACCGTGTTTCCTCAAGAGGACCGTGTTTTTGCCTATTTCAGAGACCGTGTTGCCTCCAGAGACCGTGTTTCCTCCAGAGACCGTGTTTCCTCC